CTTTTCAAGACAGGGTTTCCCTGTGGCTTTGGAGGTTGACCTGGAACTAGCTCTTGTAGACCAGACTGGTCTCAAACTCACAGAGATCCACCTGCCTCTACCTCCTGGCCTCTTTATTTTTCATTTATACAGTGGTCTGCCTACATGTATGCCTGCAGGCCAGAAGAGGGCACCAGACCTCATTATAAATGGATGTGAGCCACCATACAGTTGCTGGGAATTGAACTCAGGACCTATAGAAGAGCAGCCAGTGCTCTTAACCTCTGAGCCATCTCTCCAGCTCCCCCTTCTGTTTTTTAGTGCCAGAATTTTCACTATTCTGTTTTTACATTTTTAGTCTTGTTGCTTTCCTGCTTTCTCACATGCCATTTTTTCTTTGTCCAGTCACCAACTTGCTCTTGATCTTCCACATGTGAGAATCAACCATGTTTTCTTGAACGCTGTGGAAAAGACAGGATCCTTTTTGTGTAATGGGTGGGTGAGTGGGGGTGTCATGTTGCTGAGTATGAAATCCAGGGCCTCATGTGGTAGTTGAGCACTAGACAATTCTATTTTTGCATCTTTTTGGTCTACTAGAAATTAGAGGGCACATACTGTGTAGCCCAGCAGTGCTCAGGTTCATCTCCTCTCTCAGCCTCTGGAGCACTGAGAGTATGAATGCCACCATGCCTCACTACATCGCTATTTTTGTTGGGAATTTGTGAGTGTTTTGTTTTTTGGAGATATGGTTTCTTTCTGTAGCATTGGTGGTCTTGGAATTTACAGCGCAGACCAGGTTGACCTTGAACACTCAGTGATCTGCCTGCCTCTGCCTCTTGAGTGCCTGATTAAAGTGATGTGTCACCATACCTGGCTTTTTTGTTGCCTTGTTTGTTTGTTGTTTGTTTGAGACAGTTTCTGTGTGTAACAGCTCTGTCTGTTTTGGAACTCACTGTGTAGATCAGGCTGTCCTCAAACTCAGAGACCTGCCTGCCTCTGCCTCCATTGTTTTGGGATTAAAGGTGAGTGCCAACACTCCCTAGCTTTTTTTTTTTTTAATGGTATATATGTATGTTTGGTGTGTATACATGTGTGGGAACACTGTATTTGCATGTGTGTCTTTGTATACACGCACACTCAGTGTGGATGATCCTCCACCTTATATATTGAGGCAGAGTCTTTTGCTGAACCTGTAACTCAGCAGTTTGGCTAGTCAGCTAGCCAGTTTGATCTGGCGACCCTATCTCTCTGCCTCTCAAGTGCAGGATTAAAATGGGCTGCTATCTCTACCCATCTTTTACATGGGGATCCAAACACTGGTCTTCATGCTTAATCTGTGGGCTCTTTACTTGCTGAGCTTAAATCTGTGATACAATGATATCATATATACTGATTCATTTTATTTTATTTGTTTGTTTGTTTGTTTGTTGAGGCAGGGTTCCTCTGTGGCCCTGGCTGTCCTGAAACTCACTCTGTAGATCAGGCTGGCCTCAAACTCACAGCGATCCACCTGCCTCTGCCTCACGAGTGCTGGGAGTAAAGGTGTGTGCCACCATACCAGGCTATAATTTATTTTGATTGAGCATATCTTTTACTGGATTATTATTTATTTACTTACTTACTTTTGAGGAAGGTTCTCATTTAACCAACCCTGGCCTTCCACTGTGCTTTGTTTAAAGTTTGAGGTTGACTTCCCCCTCCTGAGTGTTAGTATTACAGGCATGCACCACCACACAGGCTTTGTGGTACTTCAGATGGAAGTTGGGGCTTCTCATAGACTGAGCAGGCACTCTACCAGGGGAGCTATATGCCTGATCCTTGTTTGTTTTGGGGGGACAGAATCTCACTCTGTACTCAGGCTAACCTGGTATATAGCATGAACTAATTTGTAACTTTGGGCAGTCCTCTTGCCTTAGCCTCCTAAATAGTGGGATTGCAGCTATGTTTGCACCCATCTTTCATGTGCAAAATATCTTCAGTTTGCTATCCTTTCCCCACATGGAGATTTCTTAGTCCCCCTCTTAGTTTTGTTTCACTGCTGTACTTGTGTCAAGGTTCAGAATAATGACCTGGCACTTTTTTTTTCTTTTTCTGAGATTTCAGGCTTTTTTCTTAGAATATCGTTCAAGGTCTTTGAGGTAATATGCTTCTTATTGTTTTGATTATTATTAGTTTAGATCTCATATAACTTCAGACTCACTATGTAATCAGGATTGGACTTGAAATGCTGGTCATCCCACCCACCCTCCAGCCTCCCAAGTACCGACTGGGCTTATAGGAGATCACTACTTTGCCCTTTTATTAAGGGCCTTGACTCTTGGGCCTTAAGGTTGTTTTTACCAGTCTTGTCCTCTGGTTCCCTAACTTGATGGATATTAATGACATGAGAATAACTTCATGTTTGTTACACTGGCATAACAACTCCTGGGAATAGCTAGTTAGAGTTTGCTCTGATGGTTTGTTCTTTTATTTCTGGAGCTGTTATGTGGGTGGAATACCAAGTCATACCATATTCTTGAGTATCTCTTTAAGGCTGGTGAAATGGTTCCTCCTTTAAAGCTTTTTTAATTTTTTTTAAAGATTTATTGCTGGGCTGTGGTGGCAAACACTTTTAATTCTCCCAGCACTTGGGGGCAGAGGCAGGTGGATCTCAGGGAGTTCAAGGCCAGCCTGGTCTACAAAATGAGTTCCAGGACAGCTAAGAACACAGCCAGTTACACAGAGAAACCCTGTCTTGAAAAACCATTTAAAAAAAAAAAAAAAAAAAAAGATGTATTTATTATGTATAGAGTGTTCTGCCTGGGTGTATGCCTGTGTCCAGAAGAGGGCACCAGATCAGAGCAGTCCAGTGCTCTTAACCTCTGAGTCATCTCTCCAGCCCCAAAAGCTTTTATTTGTTTTTGTTTTTGTTTTGTTTTGTTTCATTTTGTTTCAAGGCCAGGTTTCTCTGTGTAACTGGCTGTGTTCTTAAACGATTCTTTATGAATTCTTTATGAATTCTTTATGAATTGTTCCTCTGTGGGACAGTCCTGGCTGTCCTGGAACTCGTTTTGTAGACCAGGCTGGCCTGGAACTCATAGAGATCAGACTGTCTCTGCCTCCTGAGTGCTGGGATTAAAGGCGTGCACCACCATGACTGGTTCTACTTTTTTTTTTAATTTTTTTTTAGATTTATGGATTTTTTACTTTCATGTATATGAATGTTTTGTCTACTTGTGTATATGTGTACCACATGTGTGCCTGGTACCCATGGAGGGACAAGGAAAGTTTGTATTTCTCTGGACTGGAGTAACAGATGGTTGTGGTTGTGAGTAGCCAGGTGGGTGCTGGGAATTTAACTCAGGTCCTCCCGTTTTTCGAGACAGGATTTCTCTGTGGCTTTGGAGACTGTCCTGGAACTAGCTCTTGTAGACCAGGCTGGTCTCGAACTCAGAGAGATCCGCCGAGTGCTGGGATTAAAGGCGTGCGCCACCAACGCCCGGCTTGCAGCCAGTGTTCTTAATCATTGAGACATCTCCCAATTTCCTGGTTTTTTGTTTTGGCGGGTGGGCAGTGGGATGATTGCTTACTTATATAAGTGTTTTGCCTTCATGTTTGTATGCCTGGTGCCCAAAGAACAGGAGATTGTAAGTTTGGGTCCTATCTAAGAGCAACAAGTGTTCTTAACTACTGAGCAATCTTTCCAGCCTCATTAATTTTTTTTTTAACATAGTATCACTAGAACTGTTTATATTATGTGTAAATGAGAAATTGCTATCATCTTTTTGGGCTTCTGATACTGTACCGCAGGTTAACATTTAGCTCACTGTGTACCCTAAGGTAACTTTGCACTAACAATCCTTTTAACTCATCCTCCCAAATGCTGGAGTTATAAGTATGTACCATTACCTGGCTGTTTATTAATCTTAATTTTCTTTTAGGGACCTTATGCCTCCGTCATGCCTATCAAGAAAATAGGCCACCGAAGTGTTGATCCCTCTGGAGAAACTACATATAAAAAGGTAAGTCTGGACAGACTGGATGGGACATGTTACTTCAGTAATATACCAAAGGCAATACTGTTACTGCGTTGAGTTTTTTGGTTGTTTGCTTTAAGATAGTGTCTCCTGGGTTGCCTGGAACTCACTATGTAGGTAAAGCTGGCCTTGAACTCCCTGTAGCTTTCTCCCTCAGCCTCCCAGGTGCCTAGATTATGGTATGAGCCACCATGCCTGACCAGCACTGTCCTTGATAATTTTTCTACAAAATATTCCATTTGTTTTTTTCTTGTTTTATTTGTTGGTTCGTGGTTTGGTTTTGCTTCCTGAGTGCTGGAATTAAAGGTGTGTACCAACACACCCAGCCCATTTACTGACAATGAACATAATTTAACTTGTATTTTAAAATTTAATTCATAAAGAATTGTTTTCTTTTGATATGTGTGATTAAAGGATACTTACTAATAAAAAAAATCTAATGTTGGTTGATACTGTCTTTTAGAAAAATTTTTTAAAGCCATGGCTATTCTCAAACTCACTATGTAGGTCAAGCCAGTTCTAACTCACAGAGAATCACCTGTCTCTGCCTCCCAAGTGCTGGGATTAAAGTTGTCTGCTACCATGTCCAACCATGATTGATATTTTCTTTGAGTGGAAGAAATTAGATTTTATTTTTAGATACAAATATATTGCTTAATCCTAAAAGGCCACCTTTTCCCTTGCCACAGGAAACCCAAGTTTTTGTTTTGTTGTGTTTCTCTCCTTTTTGAAAGTGGGTTGTTAATGCACCAAAGCTGATCCCAGACTCACTTATGTAGCAGAGGATGACCTTGAATTCCTGACCCTCCTTCCTTCCCTCTCCCAAGTTCTTGAAGATTACAGATAGCACCACATCTGCCTGGAACTATTTCTGCCCCCCCCCTTTTTTTTCTTTTTGTTTGTTTTTCAAGATAGGGTTTTTACTATTTAGCTCTGGCTGTCCTGGAACAAACTTTATAGACCAGTCTGGCTTCAAACTCACAGAGATCCGCCTTCCTCTGCCTCCTGAGTGCTGGGATTAAAGGTGTATGCTACCGCCTGCCTCTTCCCCCCCCTTTTTAAAGGCAGGGTCCCATAACGTAGTCCAGGCTGGCCTTGAACTTGCTATGTAAAGTTGGATCCCTTGGAGCTTGAATTACAGTCTGTTGTGATACCCTCTTATAAGGGTGCTTGAGACTGAACTCAGACTCAATTATGGCCTCTAATACATTTTCCCTCTGAAATTTTGCTGTTTTCACATTTCTCAGAATTATGTTGATAGTTTTTCTGTCCTTTTTTGACTCTTTTCCTTTATTCTTTTCTTTCCCCCCTAAGGATGGGTTTCTCTGTGTAGCCCTGGCTGTCCTGGAATTCAAGAGATCCGCCTGCCTCTGCCTCCCGAGTGCTGGAGCTTGAGTGCATCGCCACCTCCCGGCTAAATGGAGTAGTATTTTTAGCATTATGCATGTTTTGCCTTCATGTATGTCTGTGCATCACCTACAAGCCTGGTGCTCAAAGAGGCCAGAGAAGGTGTTGGACACCTTTGAAGTGGAGTTACAGACAGTTATGAGTCACCATGTAGGTGGCTGTGCTCTCTAGAAGAGCAGCCAGTGCTCTTAACTGCTGAGCTATTGTTTCAGCACATGCACACAGGTGTACACACACACACACACACACACTTTTTTCTTTTTACATGTTCTGATTTTAGTCTCTAGTTTCCAGTATTACCAAGCAAATTTGTATATATTAACAATGTTGATTTGCAAAGTGACTAAAAAGCAGTCTTCCAGTATCTTTTCTTCCACAAACACAACCAACTGTCTTCAGCCCCACGGAATCTGATTCCTTCTTCTGACCAGGTTGATGCACACATGTAGTGTACAGACAATCATGCAGTTAAAATGCCCACCATATACAAGTTGAATTTTTCATGTGTCCATGTTTTTTTGTGTGTGTGCGTGTGCGTGTGTGTGTGTCTGTAGTACTGCTGGCCTGGAACTCTATGTAGACCAACCTGGCCTCCAAATACACAAAGAGCCAGTCACCTGCTTCTGCCTCTCAAGTGCTGGAATTCCTGGCCAAGTTTTCTTTTCCAATTAAGAGGGTTTGTTTGTTTTTTGGTTTTTTACTACTTTAGTGTCCTTGAAATATTTGTCCTTCTTTCAGAGGATCAAAGTGTCTATAACTATACAGTCAAATCAGAATCTCTGTTAATTTTGTTATATACTTTATCAGATGAATCAAAAGTTTGGAGAGGCCCACCTACCCCCAGGGCAGGCAGTAGTAATATGGAGCTCTTTCCTGACTGAGGCCAACACAGATGGTCCTCCCTTGCTACTTTGAATCTTCCCTTTTCTCTTTTCTTTTTCTTTGATTTTTCAAGACAGGGTTTCTCTGTATTGTTTTGGAGCCTATCCTGACACTCGCTCTGTAGACCAGACCAGGTTGGCCTTGAACTCACAGAGTTCCGCCTGCCTCTGCCTCCCGAGTGCTGGGATTAAAGGCATGTGCTTCATCAATACCCAGCTAAATCTTCCCTTTTCTTAATCATTTTTAGGTTTAATTCCAATATAGAGCCTAAATTCTGTCTGAACTATTGGAAGGTCATTTGCTTTCAATGTTTCTTCTTACATTTCCATCATGAGTTTTGTGGGTTTGGTTGATTGGCTTGGTTTCCTAAGACCACATGTAGCCCAAGCTGACCTAAATTTGTAAATTTCTTGTCTTAATCACTTAAGTAGTGGCATTCCAGGTGTGTGCTTCCATTCACAGTTTTCTCCTTGGTGGTTAATCAGTATGGTCAGGCTTTTGTTTTGTTTTTTTTGTTTTGTTTTTTTTGTTTTTTCCTTTCAGGGAGTTCAGAATTGAAATATAGACAGGGTCTTTGTCTGGCCTTGAATGTAAGGCGGTTCTTCTGTGTTCAGGGATTATAGTCATGTGCCACCATACCTAGGCTTTGGTTAGACTTGATAACAGAACATTTTCTATAATTTCTTTACTGTTTCTTAGACAACTTCATCAGCCTTGAAAGGTGCCATCCAGTTAGGCATCACCCACACTGTGGGCAGCCTGAGTACGAAGCCAGAGCGAGATGTCCTCATGCAAGACTTCTACGTGGTGGAGAGTATCTTCTTTCCCAGGTACAGAAGTCAATTAATATTTAAGAGAGTATCCTAGACCTCAGAGCAATTTTGAGGTTTCTAGTCTGATTTAAACTTGTCAGTTCTTTTTTTTTTTTAAGATTTTATTTATTTATTATGTATACAGCTTTCTGCCTGCATGACCAGATCTCATTCAAGGTGGTTCTGAGCCACCATGTGGTTGCTGGGAATTGAACTCAGGACCTCTGGAATAACAGTCAGTGCTGTTAACCGCTGAGCCATCTCTCTAGCCCAACTTGTCAGTTCTTAACCTTGTTGTAAATAGTGTAAATGTGATTAGAGAGTTTATAGAGCAGACTTTGTCATATGCCTCTGGCCAATGGGATGTTGTATATAAAAGACAAGCAGACAGTTTATTTTGGCTAGGGAAATGGGTCAGCAGGTAAAGCCTAATGACCTGAGTTTGATCCCCAGGACCTCACATGCTGGTTATGATTGAATCCTGCAACTTTTCCTCTGACTTAACAATTAACAGTGTACCAAGGCATGTTTGCTTGGGTGTGCGTGCAGGCACGCACGCACGCACGCACGCGCACACACACTGAGTAAATGTAATCTAAAAAGTTTTCAGGTGGCTCAGTGGTTTAAAGCACTTGCTGCTCTTTCAAAAGACCTACGTTCATTTCCTGGCACCCACAGTTCAGCTCACAACCATTTGTAACTCCAGTTCCAAAGGATCTGGCACGTTCTTCTGGCCTCCAAAACCACCAGGCATGTATATGGTGCACAGACATGCATGCAGGCAAAACATTCATTCACCCGGAATTAGCTGTGTTTGGTGGTGCCTTTAACCCCAGCATTTGTGAGGCAGAAGCAAATTGATATCTATTTGTTAGAGGCCAGTCATAGCTACATAATGAGACCCTATCTCAAGCAAAAAGAAACAAAAAAAACCCTTTTAAATCACGTAATGCATCGACTAGGAGGCAGTGCAAGTCCTATGTTTCATTGATCTTCGTTGTGCCTTTGTCCCACAACTTGACTCTAATCATCACATCCCTGCTGTGTCTCTCAGAAGTATTGTGGGACATCCCTCTCAGCATCTGCCAGGTAGATTCCATGGGTGATGGGGTCTGACACTAAGGCTTCTTTATATTTAACCCCACAGTGAAGGGAGCAACCTCACACCGGCTCATCATTACAATGACTTTCGTTTCAAGACCTATGCACCTGTTGCCTTCCGTTACTTTAGAGAGCTATTTGGCATCCGGCCTGATGATTACTTGGTAAGTTTCTAATTGCAGAACCTGTGATTCTAAGATGAGAGGAATATTCCAAAAGGAATTTCCCTCTTCCACCATCTTGCTTTAGTGTTCATTACAATGGATGTGAATCTGTATCTAATTTCTATGTTGGTCAGGCCCTGGCACATCTGATTCTTAATGTGTTCTCTTATTTTCAGTACTCCCTTTGCAGTGAGCCATTGATTGAACTCTCCAACTCTGGAGCTAGTGGTTCCCTCTTCTATGTGTCCAGTGATGATGAATTCATCATTAAGACAGTCCAGCATAAAGAAGCAGAATTTCTGCAGAAGTTGCTTCCAGGGTACTACATGGTGAGTGGGGAGCCCTGGCAGGCTGTCCTTGGCAGTTCCAGTACTTGTCTTAATGTTGGCATTTGATCTTACTTAGAGGTAGAAGTCAAGACAGACTCTTTTTTTTTTTTTTTTTTTGGTGCTTCTGGTTTTTGAGACAATATCTTCCATGCTGGCCTTGAACTACCTTTTATCCAGCCTCTGCCTCCCAAGTACTGGTACCACCACCATGCTGGGTTTGAGTGGTGCTAAGCATTGAGCCCTAGGCTTTGTGAATGCTAAGCTGGTACTCTTTTATTGGATCTTCCTGTGTAGCCCAAAGCCAGTTTTGGATTCCTGAATCTCCTCCTTCTATCTTTGATTATAGGTGGTCACCACCTTGTTTGGATTATTGCTGTTTTCTCTTTAAACTCTCTTAGATATCATGAGAGATTATGAACATGTAGGCCAACACATATTACCTAAATCACCTGTAAAGCAGAGGAACAATAGACAATAACTTTTGCCTTGAGTTTTACTGAAAATCAGCTAACCTGTTTTACCACTTCTTACTTTTATTTATGTCTTAGAATCTTAATCAAAACCCTCGAACTTTGCTGCCTAAGTTCTATGGACTGTACTGTGTGCAAGCAGGCGGCAAGAACATACGAATCGTGGTGATGAACAATCTCTTACCTCGGTCAGTCAAAATGCATATGAAATATGACCTGAAGGGTTCAACTTATAAACGGCGGGCTTCTCAGAAAGAACGAGAGAAACTTCTCCCCACCTTTAAAGACCTGGACTTCCTACAAGATATCCCTGACGGTCTTTTTTTAGATGCTGACATGTACAGTGCTCTGTGTAAGACTCTGCAACGTGACTGTTTGGTGAGTTGCTATATTTTCCTTTCTTTCAGACACAGAAATCATTTTCATTGGTGATTCTCTGGCATTTAGTGTATGGGAGCTGGAACTCAGATCATTAGCTCCCTGTGTCCTGGGCTGCTTTTGTTTGTTTGTTTGTTTATTTTAGGGAGTGTGTTTATGTGTGTGAGGGGTACAGTTGCTCTTTGTTGTGTACAGCACAGGTGCTCTCACTTATGTATGAGAATATACTTGCCTGTGTGTGACTTGTAGAGGCCAGAGGTCAGCATTGGGTTTCTTCCTTGTGGCACTCCACCTTACTTTCTGAGATAGAGCCTCTCACTGAACCTGGAGCTCCCCATTTCATATAAACTGGCTGACCAAGTTACAGATGTGCACTGTCATGCCCTGATTTTATGTGGGTGCTGGGAACCCACACTCAACTCCACATGTTTGTGCAGCAAGCACTTTTCCCCCTGAGCCTCTTCCCCACCCCCCAGATTGCAGTTTAGATGGCTTTTACATTTCCTCATTGCTGGTCCTTTACAGACTTGCTTTTGTCTTTTACCCTCCCCACCTGGGCTACATTTCCTTGTTGAGCTAGCTTAGCATTCATAGGAAAACTCTTAACTTTGCTGTACTACAGAGCCATTATTCCTTAGATTCTGGTCTTGCCTGCCAAATGCAAAGCTATATCTTGGCAGTGCTGTTGCTGTTGTTGAACACTACACAACTGTACACTGCTGATTGGTGATATTCTAAACCAGCGGTTCTCACCCTTCCTAAGGCTTCAGCCCTTTAATACGGTTCCTCATGTTGTGGTGACTCCATCCATGAAAATATTCTTGTTGCTGATTCATAACTGTAATTTTGCTGGTTAAGAATTGTAAGTATCGGGCTCAGAGGTTAAGAGCACTGACTGCTCTTCCAGAGGTCCCGAGTTCAATTCCCAGCAACCACATGGTGACTCACAACCATCTGTTATGAGATCTGGTGCCCTCTTCTGGTGTGCAGATATACATGGAAGCAGAATGTTGTATGCATAATAAATAAATAAAATCTTTAAAAAAAAAAAAAAAAGAATTGTAAGTATCTTAGGTGACTCCTGTGAAAAGGTCCTTTTCCTAAAGAGGTTGAGAGCCACAGGTTGAGAAACACTTGTCGAGACCATCAGTATTACACATTCCATTTCCTGTTCATTGCCTCTGACCTGCAGCGGATCCTTTTGACTCTGCTTCCCTAGTTTGGGGATTACAAATAAATGCCCTTATACCCACCTTTCAATAACCCTCCCTCCCCTTTGGTTTTTTGAGGTGGGGGTTTTTCTGTGTAGCCTTGGCTGTCCTGGAACTCACTCTGTAGACCAGGCTGACCTTGTACTCAGAGATCTGCCTGCCTCTGCCTCCCGAGTGCTGGTATAAAAGATGTGTGCTGCTTCTCCCATCCATGGTGATCTGTTTTAGCCTTCTCTGTGTTCTTCTATCATGTAAACATATGTGCTGTATTGCTGTATTGTGCTTATTTTTATATTTGTATTTGGTAAATGTTGAACTAAATTGAAGCTGATTCCATAAAGTCCTGCCACAGATCTGCTCTGACACAGATCGGTCACATAGTGTACTTTTTTCCCCTTGTTTTTGAGATTGGGTCTCAGGTAGCCCTAGCTATTCTTGTCTTCCCTATGTAGCTATGGTCGATCTTAAATTCCTGATCCTGTCTTCATCTCCCAAGTTCTGGGATTGCAGGCTTATGCTACCATGCTCATTTTCTGCAGTGCTGGGAATGGGACTTAGATAAGATCCCAATCTGTTGTCACAGACTCTACAGTACAGATATATAGTCCTTTGTAGGGTCTTAGCCCAACCACAGAAGGCTGAGCTGGGTCCCAGGAAGGGTAAGTGCTTGCTTACCTCTTCCCTAGCCTCCCAGGATCCTAGGGACAATCAGACGCAGCAGGGAGTCTAGTCAAGCAGGAACTTGACTAGAAGCAAGAATGTTTTAAAGCAAAAACCATGAGGGAGGGGGCGCATGGACAGCCAGCCAATGGTTTTAAAGGTCAGCCTATCATGCGCCTAGATGCCCTATGCTTTACCTAGTGAACACAAGCCGTTCATGCAGTGACCTTATCTGGTTCCAACTTGGCAACCAATCACCCTTTTTTGTAAACATCTCAGGACTCGCCCTCCTGACTTTCCCTCGGTGCATAGAACTGGCTCCTGTGCCCTTCAGTCCTTGTTTATATGAAAAGACACTGTTCTTTTAAGTGACAAAATGGACTCAAAAAATAAGTTGCATTGGCTACTCTGGTGTCTCAGGCCTATAATTCCAATTGTGTAGAACTTGGTGAGACTATATCTCAAAATTTAAAGGGTAAAGGGAGGCTGGGGGTGTAGCTTATATGCCAGAGACCTGTATTCAATCTCCAGTACTGTAAAAAATAGTTGCATTATATAGTTAGGTTATAAAGTGGTGAGAACTTGAAAAACATCCTGACACCTCTCAAACTTTGTTCATGTTGTCCTCTCTTCCCTTTAGGTGCTACAGAGCTTCAAGATAATGGACTATAGCCTCCTGATGTCAATCCACAACATAGATCATGCACAACGAGAGCCCATAAACAATGAAGCACAACACGCAGTTGACACGCGAAGACCAGCCCCACAGAAGGCTCTCTATTCTACAGCCATGGAATCCATCCAGGGCGAGGCTCGACGGGGTGGCACTGTGGAGACTGAGGACCAGTGAGTGGGCTTGGGACCAACAGCTGCCACACATACTCTCTCTAACAGTACTTTTTCCTAAAGGCACCTGGCTTCCGGAAAAGAGTATCCTTGATCTTGTAGTGAGGCCAACAGCATTAACACTCATGCGGCCATTGGCCATTCTTTTATAAGAGTGTAAGGGGGGAAAGTCAAAGAATAGAAGAGGAAAGGAAAATATGTGAGTTTGCAGTACATCTGGGAAAGAGTTGTCTAAGATGAAAATATTAACACTTAGAAGCTGTGGTGAGCATCTGTAAATCATGCTAGTTTGTTGGCTCCCCCTCTCCTCCCCAGACACGGTTTCCCTTTGGCTGTCCTGGAACTCTCTGTGTAGACCAGGCTGGCCTCAAACAGAGATTCCCCTGCCTCCTCTGGGATTAAAGGTGTGTGCCACCAGCAGCTGGCTCACATTAGAACTTTTATCACAGCTTACTGTAGGCTTCTGTGTGAAAGACCTCTTACTGCCTTGGGTTTATCCAATGACTATGGTTACTAAAAGTTTCAGATGATTCATTTTTAGGCGTATTATAACATGACTGCCAAGAAAGGTATCTTAGTGGAAACAAATGAAGACACAAAAGTACCAGCATGTTTGTTTTTACTTGGGGACTAGTCCCATAATTGCTGAGTAGCCATGCTTTCAGTCTCTTTGATGGAGCTATGTGAGAGAGAAGTATGAGGAGATTATCATACATGTCCAGAGGGGTCTTAGTCTGGAGGGTGAGTCACTCATATTTAGCTTTTAGTTCCATGTTCAGGTTTGACCAGAGGCTAGGAGACATCTCTACTGGCTAGTTTTATGAACAGATTTTTCTAACTCTTTTCCTTTTCTTTTCCCTAGCATGGGTGGCATCCCTGCCCGGAATAACAAAGGGGAAAGGCTCCTGCTTTATATTGGCATCATTGATATTCTGCAGTCTTACAGGTAAGGGACAAGGGGACCACAGATTGGGGTCGCTCGAGGTTCTTTATTTTTTTACACCTTCTTTAGTTTTTTTTCTTCTCTTTGTAGCTTTGGCTGCCCTGGAACTCATTCTGTAGACCAGGCTGGCCTCGAACTCACAGACATTCACTGGCCTCAGCCTTCCTTTTTTATTTATTTATTTATTTATTTATTTATTTATTTATTTATTTATTTTTCTGTTTTCATTTTATAAATGTGTTTTGACTTTGTCTACGTATGTGTACCACTTGAATGTCTGGTGCCCATGGAGGTCAGAGAAAGGTGGATCCTCTAGGACTGGAGTTACGGATGATTGTAAGTCACCTTGTGGGTGCCGGGAACTGAACCCAGATCCTCTGCAAGAACAACTAGTGCTCTTAACTGCTGAGTCATCTCTCCAGTCCCCAGCATACTTCTTTTAAATGTGTGGGTTGGTTTTTTTTTTTTTTTTTTTTTCCCCTTGAGACAGCGCTTCACTGTGTAGTCCTGGCTGTCCTGGAACTCGCTCTGTAGACCAGGCTGGCCTCAAACTCAGAGATCAGCTTGCCTCTGCCTCCTGACTGTGTGCACCATTACCACCAGGCTTAGATGTTCTTTGTGAAGTTCTTTATGATGCAAGAACAGTGAGTCGCAGTCTGGTTACCTATAGATTTTAAGTGCTATCCCCTGGTTTTTCTGACTCAACTGCCTCTTCAATGTGATACATACCTTTTGTGGAATACTGAGTCAGTCCTCAGATGCATGGGGCGGAATGCTCCATCTGCCTTGACTCTGAGAAACCTGTGAGCTGAGTCATCCTCCATATGGGGAGAAAACTGGAAGCACATTCTCATTTCCTCAAAGGAAAAATAAGATCTCTGTGTTATGTAAAAATGACCAGCCTGTGGAACTAAGGCAGTGGAGTGGAGATGAGGGAGTATCTATCGTTGCTGACACATTGCAGGTACTAAAGTGGAATAGCTATTCAATATTTGATGTACTGATTATTACCATTGAAATTTTTGTTTATTTATTTGTTTGTTTGTTTGTTTGTTGTGTGTGTGTCTTTATGCTACAGTGGGCATGTGGAGTTCAGAGGATAACTTGTGGGAGTCGGTTCTCTCCACCTTGTGGATTCTGGGGATTAAACTCAGATCATCAGACTTGGTAGCAAGCACCTTTATGCACTGAGCCATCTCACCAGCCCTCTTACACAAGTGTAGCTATACTTTCTCAGCTTTAACCTATTATTCCTTCAGCTTTCTTTTCTTTTTCTCTTCTGGTTTGTTGTTTGTTGGAGTTTTATTTTTCAAACAAGATCTCTCATTGCAGCCTAGGCAGACCTGGAACTCATGGCAATCCTCCAGCTCCAATCTCCCAAGTGCTTAGTTACAGTGTGTTCTACTACTTAGCCTACTTTCCATACAATTCATTAATGTTGTTTTGCTTTGCTCTGCTTTTCTAGCAATTAAACCCAGGACCTCATACATGTAGGCAAGTGTTTCATCACTGAACTGTCCTTCTCAATTAATTGACTTAGCTAGAAGCAGGATTGGCTTCCAGGTGGAATAAGCACTACCATGGCAGTTCTTCAGAAATCCAGTATACCACAGTGGATGCATTCGCCCAGTGTTTATCTGTTTAAGGTTTTCCGGTATTTTGGCCTTTTTTAGCCCTCTAAAATAAATAATTATAATGGGCTTTCATTTAAAAACAATGTGTGATAGCTATTTTTCTTGGCAGGTTTGTTAAGAAGTTAGAGCACTCTTGGAAAGCACTGGTACATGATGGGGTGAGTATAGAAGTCAGCTAAAGGCCTCCTCCCACCTCTCCATTTCTTGCCATTTGCCTCCTCCTATGTATTATTCATTTTATTTCTGGGTTTCACACTTCTGGTACAGTTTCAGTGTAAGGGAACATGGTCATTGGATGACACAGCCTCTTGCTGGGCCTTTCTGTGTAACTCTGTAGTCATCTCTTCTGTTCAACAGGACACAGTATCAGTGCATCGTCCTGGCTTCTATGCTGAACGGTTCCAGCGCTTCATGTGCAACACAGTGTTCAAGAAGATTCCCTGTAAGTGGCTTCTGCCAGATGACCCCCCAGTGGCTCCCTTACCCCAAGAGATGGTGGGCAGGACACCTCTGTCAGGGAGCTGCCAAGGCCAGAGGCCTCTTCTGCTCTTCCTACATCCTGTGAGCGCTGCTTCTCGTCCTTGTGTCAGTCACTGTCTGTCCCAGTCGTTTCCGAGTTGCTGCTCCCCCCTGGCTCTCCCTACATGTGTCGTCGAGGTGAGGGCCATTTCTGGGGAATTGGTGGGGACTGGAAAAAAAAATGTGTAGCTATCGTTATAGACTTTGTGACACAGGCTTAGGTGTCTAAAAGCAGACACTTGTATAGAAAGATCAGGCAAAGCTGTTAACAGTGTTACCGATCCTTCCAAGAGTTAGGTTGGTTCAAGTGGTTGAAGCCTTGCTGATGCCTGTGGATGGAGTTTTTAGTTTTTTCCCAAACTTTCTTGATACAGAAGTGTCAGCATTCCTTTTCAAACTTTCTGTGTTTTAACACTGGCAGATTCAAGGTCATCCTTCTCCTTTGCTGTCATCATAGGCATCAGTTGTTTCTCGCTGAGGTGAAGAAAACATAGACATCACAGACAGGCTGTGAGGCATAGAGATCTGTTTTCAGTGTGAAGCACCAATGTAAATTACAGTGCTGTATGCAGCTCTACTAAAAGGATAGAGACACGTTGTCTGTAGCTTTTACTGGGTAATGTTAATAAAGAACAGCATACTCCATCAGTGAAAGCCTAGCAGAAGGCTGAGTTTGTCGCTTTCGTCTTAAGTTTTCTATTTCTTTCCCAAGTGAGATGACTTAACTCTTCTCTGAGTAGTACCTTTAGGCTACCTTTTCTGACATTAACCCATTTCTGCCTTTGCTTCAGAACAACTTTGTGTATGTGTTGGGAATACTAGCAATTGGTGTCTGTCTTGGTGATGGTTTCTGAGGTGGGTGCTAAGTAGGCTCTCTCTTTCCCTTTTGAAGTGAAGCCTTCTCCTTCCAAAAAGTTTCGGTCTGGCTCGTCTTTCTCTCGGCGATCAGGCCCCAGCGGCAACTCCTGCATTACTTACCAGCCATCGGTCTCTGGGGAACACAGAGCACAAGTGACAACCAAGGCGGAAGTGGAGCCAGGTCAGCGCCAGGGCTGGGGTCCCCTTGCATTTGGACACTCCCGCCCTTTTTTTGAGTTCCTATGTTCTCTGGCCAGGACCTCTACTCCCTGTTTCTATACAGTAAAAACTAACTTGCTAACTTGTCTTGGGTTTTTTGTTTTTTGTCGTGTTCCTCCCCCGCCCCCCAGACAGGGTTCTCTGTGTAGCCGTGGCTGTCCTGGAACTCACTCTATAGGCAAGGCTGGCCTCAAACTCAGAGATCCTCCTGCCTCTGCCTCCCAAGTGTTGGGACCAAAGGCGTGCACCACCATGCCCAGCTGTTTGTTTGGAGATAGGGTCTCACTATGTAGCCCAGGCTCTCCTGGAAGTCACTGTGTTTGTAGCCAAGCTGCCTTCAACCTCATGACCCACCTTTCTCAGCCTCCTAAGACTGGGATTGCAGGGATGAGTCACCATGCCCCTCCAGTCACTACACATTCTCTGTGTTTCCCAGAGCATACTATTCTTCACTTATTGAGTCATTCATTCCTTATTGATTGATTTTCTTTTTTTCCAGATGTACACCTTGGGCGTCCTGATGTCTTGCCTCAGACTCCACCTTTGGAGGAAATCAGTGAAGGCTCACCTGTTCCTGGCCCCAGTTTCTCACCTGTAGTTGGAGAGCCTTTGCAAATACTAAATTTGAGGTTGGTTTCTTGGCCCATTTCTCTGTAATCTTTTTCAGGTCCTCAGAAATCTTCATTTTGATGTTTTTCAAGAGTCTATGCTGGGCCGGGCGTTTGGTGGTGCATGCCTTTAATCCCAGCACTCAGGAGGCAGAGGCAGGTGGATCTTTGTGAGTTCAAGGCCAGCCTGGTCTACAGAGTGAGTTCTAGGACAGCCAGGGCTATACACTGAAAAACCCTGTCTCAAAAAACCTAAAAGAAAAAGAAAGAAAAATGTAACTAGGTGTGCCTAGTTCTGGGGCACACCTTTAATCCCAGCACTAGGGAGATAGAGACTGGAAGATTGGAATTTAAAGCAAGTCTGGGCTGTATAAAACCTTGTGTCAAAACAAAGCTAAACAAAAAACATATGTCATATAGTTTCTTGGGTAGAAATTCAGATTTAGCTTATATAGGTTTTTGAGCTAAAATTTCTCAGGAGATGGTAAACAAACTGTTGGCCAGGAATAGGATCATATCCTCAAATGGGAGAATTTCCTTCTAAACTCATTGATGTGGTTATTGGTGTTACTTGTTATTTGCTGGAGCAAGACTGAAGGCATCCCTCTATTTGCCACGTGGGTTCTCTACTGAGCAACTCGGAGGAGCATAACTACTAACTGTTAGTATAAGTGAGAGGGGTGTGAGTTCTACATAGAGAACTCTCTATGTGTGTCTACATAGAGACTATAGAATTGTTCTTTTTTTTTAAATACTTTTTTTTAATTTATTTAATATGTATACAACATTCTGCTTCCATGTATATCTGCATACCAGAAGAGGGTACCAGATCTCATAATGGATGGTTGTGAGCCACCATGTGGTTTGTGGGAATTGAACTCACAGCCTCTGGAAGAGCAGTCGGTGCTCTTAACCTCTGAGCCATCTCTCCAGCCCCGAATTGTTCTTTTTTTTAAAAAAAAAAAAAAAAAACATTTTTGTTTGTTCTTTGAGACAGGGTTTACTCTGTGTAACAGCTCTAGCTGTCCTGGAACTCACTCTGTAGACCAGGCTGGCTCCGAACATTCAGCTGCGTCTGCCTCCCAAATGGCAGGATTAAGGGCTTGCTCTACCATCGCCCTACAAGACTATGGAATTGTTTTTTTTGTGTGTGTTTTGTTTTGTTTGTTTGTTTGTTTGTTTTTCGAGACAGGGTTTCTCTGTGGCTTTGGAGCCTGTCCTAGAACTAGCTCTTGTAGACCAGGCGGGTCGTGAACTCACAGAGATCCACCTGCCTCTGCCTCCCGGGTGCTGAGATTAAAGGCGTGCGCCACCACCACCCAGCTGACTATGGAATTCTTAAAATCTGTTCTTAGAATTTCTAGGACGGCATCACCTTGCTGCATTTTCATTGACTCAAAGCTATGATTGCTGGCAGCAGGGATCATTGAGATCCATCTTAGAATCCGATTATCACTGGGCAAAGTGGCACCTGCATGTAATTGCCTATATATAGTCATAGCACTCTGTGGGCTCAAGCACAAGGTTAGTGACTGTGAAACCAGCCTAGTTTTTAATGGGTTCCCTGGGTGCTGTTTCCTAAGTACAGCTCAAGTATTCCTCTTACTCTGTGGACCTGTGGTACTAACTAAAAAGGTGAGTCGTTGTCTCACACCCTCATACAGGTGGAGGGCACTAGAAAATGCTGCATACATTGCTTTCAGCAGTGAGAATTCAGGGACTGGAGGTACAACTGAGTGGTATAACATATCCCTAACATAGTCAAGGCCCTCAGTTTCATCTTCAATGCTGTAAACAAAGAGAAAGGCACAGAGTCATTAGCTATTCTAAAATCCAGGGCTGTTGGTGTTTCTTCAGTTAGGTTTCAGAGTATAGAAATCATTCTACATGGCACTTGGTTTCACTTCACCATTGGATTTTGAGTCTTCCTGTTTCAGGAAAACTAGAATATATTTTCACCCTTTTTTTTTTTTTTTTTTTTTTTTCATTTAACAAAATTTGTTTTGTTTTATTTTATTTTTGAGACAGGGTTTCTCTGTGGCTTTGGAGGCTGTCCTGGAGCTCGCTCTTGTAGACCAGGCTGGCTTGGAACTCACAGAATTCTGCCTGCCTCTGCCTCCCGAGTGCTGGAATTAAAGGCATATACTACCACTGGGTTTCTTAAACATTTTTAAATGATTTATTTATTCTTATTTCATGTGCATTGGTGTTTTGCCTGCATGTGTGTCTATGTGAGGATGTCAGATCCCCTGGAACTGGAAGTACAGACAATTGTGAGCTGCCATGTGGGTGCTGGGAATTGAGCCTGGGATCCATTTGGAAGAGCAGCCAGTGCTCTTAACTACTGAGCCATCCCTCCAGCCCCTATTTCAGCTTCTTTCTAGAATTTGGAGGAGGATGTGTCTAGTTGTCTCTTGTTTCAAATTTTATTTACATTTTAAAAGTTACAACTTAGCACAGAACTGCCTTTAATCCTAACATTCAAGAAGCAGAGGCAGAAGGATCTGTGAGTTCAAAGCCAGCTATATAGTGAGACACCCCCTCCAAAAAAAAAAAAAAAAAACCCTGTTACTAGAAAACTCTGTGTGTGTGTGTGTGTGTGTGTGTGTGTGTGTGTGTGTGTGTGTGTGTATACGTACGTACGTACATGTACATGTACATGTACTCGTGCGTTCATGTGCACTCTTGGGCAGCAGTCTCTAGTGATTTCTTGGTTTTGCTCTGTCTCAGGCCATTTTGGTTTAAGTTAGCACTATTTCTGCTGCTTGTAAAATTGTAGCAATCTTATTCCATTGTGTGACTCTTGCTAGGTTTTACTCTATTAGATAAAAGCCTTGTACACAAATACCTTTTTTTTTTCTAATTATTTTTCCCATTATGTGTATGAGTATATTGTCTCCGTGTATGTCTGTGTACCATGGGCAATGACGAGTGCCCCAGGGGACAGAAGCTGGAGTTCTGGGTGGTTGTGAGTTGGGTAAGTGCTGGGAACTGAGCTCAGGTCCTCTGCCAGAGCAGTCAGTACTCACAACCATTGAGCGCCTCTACAGCCCACAAATGCCTTCCTCATAGGCCCTGTGCCTTTTAGAGTTAGGAGTATCTGTGAGGCAGACCTGCAGCTTCTGTCTGCCTTTAGTGGTGCTTGAGGATAGAACCCAGGGCTTCATATATGTTACATCTATATCTCATTCTTTGTCTTGTTTCACTAAGGGACTCATTTATGTAACTTTGACTAGCCTGGAATTGCTGTGTAGACAAGGCTGGCCTGGAACTCACAGATCTGCCTGCCTCTGAGTGTTGGGATTAAAGACATGCACCACCATGCCAGGCTTAGGCCTTTAAATTTTCTTCACATTTATTTACTTATGTGGGGAGAGGGCCTCAGACTCAGGTTGTCAGGCTTGGTGGCAAGCAAGCTTGCTAAGCCATCTAAGCGGCCTTATGTTGGCTTTTGGATGTATGGCCTTGTGCTCACTTCAGTCCTCTGTGTATCACCAGCCTTCCCAGTACCTGCATTATGGTGTGAGGCACCCAGTAGACAAGCACACTGCCTCTGGGCTCCATCGCCACACCCTACATTGGAGGCTTTTGTTAGGGTTACACCAACCACATAGAAGAATTTGTGTTACATATTATTACAAACTAAGTATCAACAAGATAAATTACTCCAAGCATAGCAGTTAGAAATAAAGAACATGTTGACTTGTTTTTGTTTTTTTTTTTTTTTTTGTTTTTTGTTTTTTGTTTTTTTTTTTGTGAATTGGGAGTTTAGGTGTGACATAGCTGAATGCCTTTGGCTCAGGAGCTCCCCAGTGGTTACTGTGAAACTCTTAGGCAGGACAATTGTCTTTTGTTTGTTTTTCGAGACAGGGTTTCTCTTTGGATTTGGAGCCTGTCCTGGAACTAGTTCTTGTAGACCAGGCTGGTCTCAAACTCACAGAGATCTGCCTGCCTCTGCCTCCTGAATGCTGGAATTAAAGGCATGCACCACCACCGTCTGGCAAGGGCAGTTGTCTTAACCGAGCCTGTACCTCAGTTCTGGGGAATGAAGCTTAGCAATAGAACGTTTAACTTGCATTTGTGAGATCCAGTACTCATCCCCAGCACCACATAAAAGAGGAAAGTTTTTGGGGGGTGGGGAGTAGCTGTCTCTGAGTTTAAGGCCAGCCTGGTCTATAAAGTGAGTTCCAAAGCTACACAGAAAAACCCTGTCTTGAAAAACCAAAGATTCATTTGCCTCTGCCTCCTGTATGCTGAAATTAAGGTGTGTGCCTCACACCTGGGCCTTTGACTTTGTATCTTGAAACAGGCCTTGAGGTCACTCTTTGTCTGCACAGATCTTGAACTATCTATCCATCCTCCTGTCTTAGCCTCCAAGTAGCTGGGATTATAGGCATGCACAATCATGTCACACTTAAATTTAGTAGCTTTAGCTTCTTAGGTTTTCTTTCTTTCTTTCTTTCAGATTTATTTATTATGTGTACAGTATTCTGTCTTCGTGTATCCCTGCAGGCCAGAAGAGGGCACTGGATCTCATACAGATAGATGGTTGTGAGCCACCATGTGGTTGCTGGGAATTGAACTCAGAACCTCTGGAAGAGCAGGTAGTGCTCTTATCCACTGAGCCATCTCTCTAGCCCCACTTCTTAGGTTTTCTTTTCTGTGATGTTAGTATATTCTTCAACCTTGGTATGGATTCCTGGGATCAGACTCAGGTTGCCAGGCTTTTGCAGCAAACACCTTTTACCCACTGAGCCATTTCTTCAGCCCAGTTGTGTAGTCTGAATCTTAAAAGAAATATGAAGAGACAATATAATTGACCTTGGAGGACATGCTAGGGATGGTAGCCATGATTATATATGCTGTGCATATGTTCTGCCACTTAAGTTATACCCATAGCCCCTTTTGCCTTCTAATTCTACCTTTTTTTTTTTTTTTTTTTTTTTTTTTTTTTCTCCTCCTATTAGTTCAGCCTTGGAAAAGCTTGAAGTTGCAGAGTCCGAGTTCACCCATGTGAGTATCTGGGATCTAGGAGAGGTGACTGCCTAAAGGGTGTAAAGGGAATCACTGATGGACTAGAGCAAAAAGTTGATTGGGAAATACTGCTGTACCCTTTGAACCTTGCTTTTAAAAAGTTTTGTGGGGCCAGGCATTGGTTGGCGCATGCCTTTAATTGCAGCGCAGCGCAGCACTCGGGAGGCAGAGGCAGGTGGATCTCTGTGAGTTCAAGGCCAGCCTGGTCTACAGAGCCAGTTCCAGGACAGCCTCCAAAACAATACAGAGAAACCCTGTCTCGAAAAACCAAAAAGAAAAAAAAAAAGTTTTGTGATCAGGCATGATGGTACCCACCTTTAATTCCAGTACTTTAACTCTCTAAAAGGCAGAGTTTAAGGCCTGCTAAGCACTGATAAGTAATATTAAGCCTCTTAATGGTTATTTGGGACTGGGTGGTCATGACAGTAAAACATCTGACTATAAAGGTCAGTCTGGCCTTTCCAGGCCAGCCAGGCCTACATAGTGAGATTCTGTCTCCAAAAAAAAAAAAAGTCTGTGGTTTTAAAACTTCATACTTGGAGGATGACGTGGTAACCCACACCTTTAATTGAAGCACTCATGAGGTAGAGGCAGATGGATCTCTTGTGAGTTTGAGGCCAGCCTGGTTCACAGAGCTCCAGGTCAGCCAGGGCTACACAGAAAAACCCTGTCTCAAAACAAAACAAAACAAAACAAAAAGAAATTCATACTTTGGATGGTGAAACTTAGAAAAAAAATCAATTTTGCTAGCTAGAATGATACAAACTTGAATTCTGTTCTTGCCTCCTTGACTCATAATTTTGGTTAACTTTGCATTGTTTCTCTTTCTAGTGAGCAGTGAGCCTCAGAAGACTAAAACAAGACTCTACTATCGCTTTGATCCCAAGATGTCAGCCCTTGGTCATCAGAAGAGGAGAGGAGTGTGGAGCCATCAGGGCTCTCCAGCGCAGTGTCTCCCTTCCTCTGGGCATTAGTGCCTTTGACAGTTGAGGGCAGCAGCGCCCCCACCTCCCTAGAATTGGGTGGCATGAATTTTCCCTGGGCTAGTCATGGCATCTGTAACTGAATGTTTTCAAACCCCGATTCTTCGTGCAGATGTGGGGTTGCTGGACTAGGTGGTTTTCTTCTCTTCACCTTTCACCTGGAGCTGGACTCTTAATTTCCTCAGGATAGACTAGCTGGACATTGTTCCCACCTTCACTCTTCCCTCTGGTCTTTGAGAAGATCACAGTGATTTTTATAAAGGTTTTTTGGGGGAGAGTAAGGATGATCCTACTCCCAGCCGTCTTTCTTCCTTACAAAAGGAAAAGAACAAACAGCACATGACATCAATTTGAGCCAGTCTCAGATAAAAGTTCTACAAGTGTTAAGAAGAGCCCTAGTGTTTGTGAAACAGAAAGGCTGTGATTGCCCCACCAGCAAGCAGCTGCTCCCTCTCTCCGACTTAGGGTTGAGGGAGTAGAGAGGGTGTGGCCACCTGCACCCCTTGTAAAGAGAGTGGGGCAGCCTTGTTAGCAGAGTAGACCTTAGCAGGACTCTACGCACTGCCGGGTCGTACAATTATTACTATTTTGCAATTTGGAATGTATTCTAATAGTTTTTCTAAATATAAAGAATTATCAAATGATTTTAAACCATTCTCCAAAGGAGATTTCTTTGTTCTTCCCTTATTTTCCAACAGTATTGTGCTCTTTGTGGAGCTATGGTGGAGGGAGACATTTGTGTCTGTTTAACAGGCAGTCTGTATCTATGAGGCTAGAGAATATTTTCTTAAACTCCTGGGGAGCCACAGACTTCCCTCAGTTGGGTGATTGCTGTGCCGCCTGGCCTGCCCCTTGCTCTGAGAGAGAAGCTGGAAGCGGGTCTCAGGTGCCCTCTCCTCCCTCTCAGGGCTGTGGTCTGTTGGGCCGGCCTTTGGGGCAGTGCACATGTTTCAGGCAGGCTGTTGAAATCTCACCTTGTTCCTTCTCCACCCCATCCCACCTCGATAGCAAGTTTGCCTGTCCCCCAAGTAACTGTCTATATTAGACACCCCCAGCCAGTTTCTGGCTGCCTGTCTTTGCTGCCATGTTCTTTTTTACAAGAAGGAAAGAAACAATTCTTGCTATTTTTTTTCATAATTTACTATTTATGATGTATTTAAGTGTTTTATTCAGGACAGAGTTCTGTAAGGGGTGGGAGGGACTATTTCAGGGAGGGCTAGGACTTAGGGAAAAGACATGGGGATTCAACATTTTTATGGAGTGTTATTATTTGTCTCTACTTTGTATTGTTGAAAAATGACAAATGCAATATAAAAGTAATAAATATCTGGTTTTAATGTATTAAAATTTATCAATTTTTAGACCCGTTTTTAAATATTTTGCTTAGCCTGATAGTGCTGGTTTCATTACATTTTCTTTTTGTGTCTGTGTGGTTTTTTGTTTTGTTTTGTTTTCGAGACAGGATTTCTCTGTAGTGTTGGAGGCTGTCCTGGAACTCACTCTGTAGACCAGGTTGGTCTCGAACTCACAAAGATCCACCTGCCTCTTCTTCCCGGGTGCTGGGGTTAAAGGCGTGTGCCACCCAGCTCATTACATTTTCATGTGTGTTCATAATGTAATGATCATTCTCACCTCCCTTGTGGCCCCTCTGCTACTGCTCCCTCCTCCACTGAGGCTCACTTTGTGTTAGCATGGACAGAATCTTCATCCAGCCTTCACACCCTTCAACTTAAGTGTAACTCAGGCTGAGAGAGGTAGCTTCAGTTCCCAATTGTGAAGTCTCTTCAGCATTGGAACACTTTAAACTTGATAAAGAAATCTTATGTAGACTGTAACTCAGCTAATGTTAATTCAAGCATTTGGGAATCCAAAGCTCAGAGTTGACTTGGGTTGAAGAGAAGAGGAAGAGTGAGGAGAGTAAGATGTTAGCTGTCTGGTCTGAAACTCAGAGAGATCCGCCTGCTAAGGGTCTCCTCCTCCTCCGCCTCCTCCTCCTCTTTTCTTCTTCTTTCTTCTTCTGTACACTGTTATGTCTGCATGTATCCCTGCAGGCAAGAAGAGGGCACCAGATCTCATTACAAATGGTTATGAGTCATGTGGTTTCTGGGCATTGAACTCGGGACCTCTGAAAGAGCAGCCAGTGTTCTTAAGTACTGTGAGGCTCCCTTCTTAAGTAAAGGTCTTTTTTCAGGGCAGGAGAGAGGACTCTGGCTAAGAGCACTTTCTGGTTTGGTACCTAGCACAACTCTCTGTAACTCTAGTTCCCAAGAACCAGAGACCATCTTCTGGCTCTTTAGATAACAAGCATGTATGTGATGCATAAATACGAATGTAGGCAACAAAAAATGAATCTTTTTTTTAAGATAAAACTTGTATAAATTTGCATCTAGGTTCTTCAATAGGAAACTAGACAAGTGAGCTGGGCTCATTTTAATGCCTGGAGATGGGGAAGCTTTGGAGTTAGCGTGTGTGCGTGTGTGATTGCACATATATACAGGTTGCATGTGTGTGGAAGCCTTGAGTGCCCTTTCCCAGGAGTGCTACCCACCTTGTTTTATAAGACATGGTCTCTTAGCTGGGTGGGCACACACCTTTAATCCCAGCAGAGGCAGGTGGATCTCTGAGTTTGAGACCAGCCTGGTCTGGAGTGAGTTCAGGATGGCCAATACTACACAGGGAAATCACATCTTGAAAAAAAAATTTTTTAATGACATGGTCCCTCATTGACCTGGAGGTCACCAGAGTAGGCAGTCTTGCTGGCCAGTGGGCCCCAGGGATACCCCTGTCTCAGTCTGTTACCAGTGCTGGGATTAATTACAAGAGTGTACCACTGTGCTTGCCTTCTGTATCTCGGGTCCTTGTCCTTGCACCACAACAAGCCAACTAAACATTGTTCTTTTCACTCCAATATTCCCTGTCCTGTGAAGATGATTATAAGAGTCCAAGCTGTAGTGGCATGAGTCATGGCTGGACAGGGTTTTAGGAAGTTTCTTCTCTTATTGAGTATGAGTGCAGCTAGGACTATAACCAAAGGTAGCAGCATGCTTTCACTGAAGTGCTGTAAGCAGCAACAGTAGCTGTGAGATCAGGCAGGAAAGGAAAGGGCAGAGAGGTTCAACCAGTTATCGTAAAAGTTGGAGGCAAAGTTCTCCTAGAGTATGAAAGCACCAAAGGGATGACATGGACTATTTACTACTTAAGAGATGGTGACATTCTTGGCAAGTATGGGGACTGCAATCACTGTTGAAATGGTATCATGTGGAGCTGTCCATTCTGTTGACATTCTGAACTATATCATGTAAATAATTTTCATGATAATAAATTGATGACCTAAACTAATGTCAAAGAAGATTATATATTATCATTATAAACTTTAGTAGCAGTGTCTGTGCAAATGCATGGGAAATGGAGAACAAAAGAAGTAGACTGTCCACAAAGAGTTAAGTGTTGCCTGGCGTTGGTGGCTCACGCCTTTAATCCCAGCACTCGGGAAGTAGAGGCAGTCTGATCTCTGTGAGTTCCAGGCCAGCCTGGTCTCCAGAGGGAGTGCCAAGATAGGCTCCAAAGCTACACAGAGAAACCCTGTCTCGAAAAATCAGAAGAAAAAAAAAAAAAAAAAAAAAAAAAAAAAAAACAGAAAAGAGAAGCAGTTAAATGCCCAGGAGCAAACATAGACTGGCTACCAAGAGTTAAGTGCCCAGGATCAAAGCACACACAGAATCATTGGCTGTGACACAGCGAAGGACACAAGTTCTGTGAGTGATAAACAACAAACAGTGGAAGTTAGAGTGGTTGGAAATACAGCTCTGGACAGTGTGTCTAGCACACCTGAAGCCCTGGTTTAGTTTCCCATCACTGGACAGTGTGGTTTACACACCTGTATCCCAACATTCAGGACATGGAAGGAGGACAATCAGGAGTTCGTGGTCGACCGACAGTATGGCAAGTTTGTGGACAGCCTGGTATACAAGGGGTCCTATCTCAAATAAAAAAGGATGCGAGATTGATCTGGCTGTGACATGTCACCCCATTGATCTCCAGGGCTGATTTGGTTGATGTGGCTGGCTAAGCCGGTGTCTCCTCCTCCCTCACTGCTCCACCTGTGTCCCTCTGGAAAGCATATAGCTTGGGATGGCAGCACGTGGTGGTGATACATTGTTTATGATTTGTTAAAGCTTGCCAGAAGATTCACAAACTATAGAAACCAGGCACACTCCTTTAATCCTAGGACTCAGGATTAAGAGTTCAAGGCCACCCAGGGATACACGAGATTGAATAGGTCTAAAAGGGGAACAGTTCACATGACTTTTATTCTAGCACTAAGGGGCATAAAAGATAGAAGCAGGGTCTTCAGAATTCATAGAAGGCATTCATTCTCCAGCCGTGCAGAGGAGAGGTTACAGTCTGAGGCTTGGTGAAGAGCTAGTGACCTGCTACATTATTTTTCTGGTCTTCAGCTTGAAGTTTGAACCCCTATATCAGTCTCTGGGTCTTTTATTTACTCGTGTTACAGATTCACATGGAGCAGTGAGAATGACCCCTTACTCCGCAAAGGTCTTTAGTCAAGGGTATATGAGTAGTTGGGCTCCCTTGCTAGAACCTCCAAACAAGCTCTCAAATGAACAAAAACAAATTAGAGGAGAAAATGTGGAAAAATCGCAAGCACAAAGCCCTTTAAGAATGATAATGGTTGGGGCTGGAGAGATGACTCAGAGGTTAAGAGCACTGACTGCTCTTCCAGAGGTCCTGAGTTCAATTCCCGGCAACCACATGGTAGCTCACAACCACCTTGAATGAGATCTGGTGCCCTCTGCTGGCCTGCAGGCAGAAGATATAATAAATAAAATCTAAAAAAAAAAAAAAAAAAAAAAAAAAAAAAAAAAAAAAAAAAAAAAAAAAATTAAAAAAAGATAATGGTCAGCATCTTTTCTGGTTAGGACACTGGAATAGATCCAGGTAGACACCACTGACACTGCAAGCCTAAGAAGCTTGTGTGAATTTTGTCTGTTTTGTTTTGTTTTTGAGATATGGTCCCACTACATAACCTCAGCTAACCTGGAGCTCACTGTGGCTACCTTCAAACTCAGAAATCCACTTGCTTCTACCTACAGAGTGCTAGAACTAAAGGCTTGCACCACCATACTCTGCTAACTTTGCATATTAGGGTGTTTTTATTTTTTCACACTTATTTTATTAGTATGGGAACTGTGGCCTGCTCACAAACACCATGGCTCTTGAGTAGAGGTCAGGGGTGTAAGGATTCAGGCATTATGCTGGCCTGCCCCTGTCACCTGGCAGAATGCTCTCAGGCAGCACCCTGGACAGCCCAGGGTCCCATGAGTACTAGTCTGCACCAGGTGCAAAGGACCCCGTTAAAATAAAGACCCAGGGGGGCTGGAGAAGATGGCTCAGAGGTTAAGAGCACTCACAAGGTCCTGAGTTCAATCCCCAGCAACCACGTGGTGGCTCACAGCCATCCTTAATAAGATCTGGTGCCCTCTTCTGGTGTGCAGATATACATGGAAGCAGAATGTTGTATACATAATAAATAAATAAAATCTTAAAAAATAAAATAAAGACCCCCCCCAAAGCTCTCTCTGCTGTCTTCTCCTCCTCCCTCACCTTTCCTGCGCTCCCCCTGGGACAGACAGGACTTTTCCTGTTTCCCTCTTCTGTACCCCCTCTGTGTCTCCTTTCCTCTTTTCTCTTCCTTTCCCCTCCCTCCCATTTCTAATAAAACTGTTCACTTAAACTCTATCTGCCTGGCGTGTTTGTCCCCTGCCTTGGTCACTCTCGCCTGCCATGGAATCCCCCACAGTCCCCCTCCCAAAGTCCCCCTTCAAGCTTTATCCTAACAAGGGGCAACATAAGGTAGTGAGTTCTCTCCTTATGTGTGGGTTCTGGGAGTTGAACTTGGATCCTTAGACTTGGTAGCAAGTATCTTTACCCAAATTAGTCCTTGCTAAATCTTTTTGTTGTTTTGTTTTTTGGAACAGGGTCTCAGCCAAGGCTAACCTTGAAATGACTAGGTTGTGAAGGTGGCCTTGAACTCCACACCCTCTACCTTCCTGAGTACGTGGCTGCCATATCAGTTTTTTGGTTTAATTTTTTTCATTAAAAAATATTTTTGTGAAAGAAAAATTGTGGCTTTTTAAGATGTATTTCTTTTATGTGTATATTTTGCCTTTGTGTATGTACGTTCATCATGGTGTGTGTCTGTGTGTGATGGCTTCAGAGTCAGAAGAGAGTTATGGATAGTTGTGAGCCATCATGTGGGGTCTAGAACTCCAGTTCCAGTGACTCTGACACCCCCTTCTGGCCTCTGTAGTCATTGCATGCAAACAGGCAAACACATAAAATT